TTTACACACACACACACACACACACACACACACACACACACACACACACACACACACACATAGAATGAGGGAGGTGTTGGAAGAAAGAGAGAAAATAATTATAGAGAGAGGGTAAGAAAGCGTCACGACTATACAAATTATATAATTTGTGAGTTGTTGCCTAAAACTAAAAGAACGCCAGGCAAAGTGTGCAAAGATTTCATTTTGCTGACCAGTTTTCCTTTCTATTTCTCCTCATCATCATTACCCCATGTCCTAATCTGTTAATGAAAGTTGGTTGCGTTGGCCATCCTCTTGTTTTATCAAAGACATATGGAAAATAATATTGAAAAACTTTCAGCAGTTGTAACTCCTTTGACAGAAAATAGAATTTCCCTCTCTGGAGAGATATTTAGAGTTCGTTTACTGCAAATTATATTGCGTTTTTAGAGTATTTTATCTTACGTTAAGTCTATATTTTTTCTTCATTTCCCACTCAAGAAATAATAATAATGTTTGGAAAGGTAATTTCGAATGAAGAGAGCGAAATCATGAGATAAAAATTATTTATTTTGCTCGGGTAATTTGGCGGCCTGAAATTTCGAAAGCAATGAGGTTGTTTTGAGATTGAAAATAGCACCCCAAAACATCCGAGATTTTTTTTTTTAAGTTTCAAATTCAGTAGTTGGGAAGAATTCAAGATCGAATTGCTTCAATATGTCTTAAAATCATTTTACTTTCGTTTTTCTTCCCCCCCCCTTTTTTTTTAAGTACAGGGTGAAACGTCAGTATATGTATTGAGAATAAGGGTTTGGCTAGGATCATACAAAAGTCAGAAGTATTTCTCCCAATCAGTCGTCTTGTTTGTCTCCTCTACAAACATAATCCCCTTAACCCTATCAGTACACCTTGGGGTCATTTTGTACTCCCGGGATTGTATTCTTCACATTTTAGAATACTTCTCATAAGCAGATCTCTTTGAAACGTTCTGTATTTCTCAAAAAAATAATTTTGACAGACTGCTATGCAAAGCGTACAGATCGGATTAACGAGTAAATTTCCTCTTTGAAGAATGGTGGCACAGAGTTCCCAACATCGTGTGGATACGATAGTAAAACACGACGTACGGATAGGTTAACTTCTGTGAGAGCAAACTGGTGTCTCTGGTAAAAGTTGGGATCTTAATCGTTACTCACAGAAGACTTGAACTTGATTCCCGCTTGGTGAGGTAATTTGGATCGGGTTTTACCGTGTGTGTGTGTGGGGGTTCTCGTGGCCTAGAAGTTAAGGAGTTCGCCTCTCATTCAAAAGTCCTGGGTTCGAATCCGGGTAGCGACGGAAAATGAGCTTCTCTAAAGGTGTCTCCTTTCCCTTCCTTTCGTGCTCTCTAGCAATGTTTTGTGGTCTCCTTTCGTCTCCCCTTTCTGCCCCCACTCTCCTCTGCCCCCTCCTCCGGAAAGACTCTTGCTGAAGCTTTTCTACTGCTACTCCTTGGCTCCTTCATACTGCTATCTTTTAGCCACACGCCTGATCTTCTGGTAGGAAAGATCTACACCTAGCCTTCTCGGAAAAGGGCGAAATATCTCGGAGGTCCTGCGTGTATGATGCACACGTCAAAGATCACTTGGTGGTCTAAAATCGATAAGAATAGGCTTCGGCCGCCACCCGGGCAAAATTCAAAAGTTCTTACTAACTGCAAATGTTTGGTGTGTCCCGCGCGCTCATATGACCTTATGCAGTTGCGAGCGCCGTAAAACACTTACCAAAAAAAAAAGAAAGAAAATGAGTTTTACCGTTTGAATGCTTGAATGCCCACAACGTATTTCACTCTATTCAGTTTGGTCCAGACAATAGGCGTTGAAACAGTCGGACTCTTAAACTTAAACTATCTGAAATGTGTCTGTTGTGGAATAAAACATTTACCATCAATTTGTTGAATCAGAAACTTCACTGATTAGCTCTGTGTCGGAAACGAAAACACAGTTCACCCTCCAGGCATTGTCTCCTCGTTTCGTGGTGGGAGAGATAATAAACTCTCCAACGATCAACAGAGACACGAAAAACGTTCGTCGATAACGCAAAAAAATGTGTTCCTCAATAAAAACCGAGGGAAGAGTGTGGTGGTTGACGTCATAAAAATTCGCTTCGCCAAGAGCTAGAAAAAAGAGTGTTTATTTTCCAAATAGTTTCGTTTCCCTTTGCGGAAGAACGTCTTTTTTACTTCCTGTTTCCCCATGTATCGTTTGGAGGAAGTCCTCTGGGTTCCGGGTTACCAAGTACGTCTTCTTCGTTGAAAACTCATTTCGGTTGTAGAAATGAACTGAATTCTCTTGAGCTTTAACTGGGGAACAAAAGAAAACGAGACACGAATAGATCTAATTGGTGCATCAGTTTTCTTTTTCTTTCTTCCTCCTTTATCCCACGCCACACCAACTCTCAGAGTGATAGTTCATACGCACCCTTGTGTCTTGAGTTTGAGTACGCACATCTTAACAAGCTGTCCGTCTGTCTGTTTGTCTGTCTATCTGTCTGTCTGCCTGCCTGCCTACCAGTATGTCTGCTGTCTGTTTGACTGCTTCTCTCTCTCTCTCTCTCTCTCTCTCTCTCTCTCTCTCTCTCTCTCTCTCTCTCTCTCTCTCTCTCTCTCTCTATATATATATATATATATATATATATATATATATATATATCAATCTCTCTCCCTCTCTCTCTTTCTCTCTCTCTCTCTCTCTCTATATATATATATATATATATATATATATATATCAATCTCTCTCTCTCTCTCTCTCTCTCTCTCTCTCTCTCTCTCTCTCTCTCTCTCTCTCTCTCTCTGATCGTCAGTAATATGTTTGGGTTTCTTCATATACCGTTGTTTTACACTATCTGTCTCGCACAGTTTTGAGTCCAGTATTTGTGTATGTCTTCAACCATGTCACAGTAAATTTCTCATCGTGGAGATAAAAAAAAAAATTATCTTATCTTATCTTATCTTATCTAATCTCATCTCGTCTTATCTTTTCTCATATTATCTTATCGTATCGCATCTTATCTTATAATATCTTACCATATCTTATTTTATCGTATCTAATCCTATCTTTTCCTGTCTTATCTTTTTGCCGGTGTTGTGTCAATGAGCTTCTTATAACTAAGACCAGTAACGTGGATGGTTGGCGGGTGCTCTGGTGTGGTTTGCTTCTTCTTTCCTATCAAACATCTATCGTCCTTATCTCCCCTTCTTCTCTTTTTTTTATGTTTGTTACTCTCTTGTAACACCTCTAATCTTCTGGTGCTCATATGACTTTATGCATTTGCAAGCGCTTGCGAGAGAAACTTTTTAAGAAAAAAGAAAAAACAATGTTGTACGATTAATTCAATTATGTACTTAAGTACTTATTCATTTGAAAAACGAATGAAAATTACTGTTCAAAACAATAATTTAAAAGCAAGCAATAATAAGAAAGAAAAAAAGGAGAAAAAATAAATAAAACCTCTACTAAAACTAAAAAAGACAAATAACTCAGCAGACCAATAACTGATTTCCTTTTTATCCTCCTCTCAGGTCCTCTCGCTGGGAGCGGAAGTGTTGCCGGAGTACAAGCTGCAGTCCCAACGTATCCACAAGTGCACGCTCTTGCACTACTCACCCTTCAAGGCCGTGTGGGACTGGGTCATCCTGCTCCTGGTCATCTACACAGCTATCTTCACGCCCTACGCCGCTGCCTTCCTGCTGAGCGAGGAGAGGAAACAGAAAACACGAGCCACGATACAAGAGCGCTACTCCGAGCCGCTGACCATCATTGACCTAATCGTGGACATCATGTTCATCATCGACATCTTCATCAACTTCAGGACGACCTACGTGAACAAGAACGACGAGGTGGTGAGTCACCCGGGGAAGATTGCCGTCCACTACTTCAAGGGCTGGTTCCTCATCGACGTGGTGGCTGCTATCCCGTTTGATTTACTGCTCTTTGGGTCGGAGACGGATGAGGTGTGTGTTTCTCTTCTCTGTTCGGTATTATTTTGTGTATAATTTGCTGTTGGTTTCTTCTTTTCAGGGTTTCTGTAGTCGTTGCTGTTGTTGTTGTTGTTGTTGTTGTTGTTGTTGTTGTTGTTGTTGTTGTTGTTGTTGTTGTTGTTTGTGTTTTTATTTAGGGGGGAGCTCTTCAGGGGGGTAGGGTGTTTGGGATGTTTTGTTTGTTTTTGTTGTCTTTCTGTTGTTTTTATACTTTCCTCAATAATTGGTTGTTTGCTTGTTATTGATAGAAATAAAGGAGGCGGGAGCGGCGGTGGGCGCGTGTTACATTCAACAGTTGACCCATTTTTGGTACCATCGCGTTGTCCAAAAAAGGAAAGAAATCAATACCCGTCTTTGGGAGAACGGTCAGTGTCGACATCTGTGATTCTGCAATGCTCAAATAAGATTTCAGACCCGTGTCGACTGTTTCGTTTACAAATAGGTCAGCTGTTTTGCAACTCCACACAGAGGAAAATAGGGCTGGGTGTCGCAGAAATTAGAAGAAAATAGAACTTTGTTATTCTGGAAAAAAGTGCCGCTTCATGGAGATGGTTGTGGGCGTCTAGTTTGAGAGTCTTCACTGTCGCCCGATAGGTGACCATGTCTCATAATTAGAATTAGTATGGTCCTCGCTTCGTGTAGCAGAGCCATAAGTGCGGAGGTGAGCCAGGCGTTGTATTGATTGAGGTTCCAGCGAAACCGCCAATTATTTCCTCCAGAACGAGAAATAATATGCTTTTCCAGCAACCTGTCTGTGCCTGTAAGTGCTTCAATTGTCAGTACAAAATGCCATTCTCGTTTTGTTCGTACTTATTACTCTAATCACTGAAGACAATTGAGCGGAAAGCTTTGGGTGTGGTTGAAAAAAGAAAAGTAAATTACTCTTCGATTTTTTTGGGTACTCAAAAGTCCTCGTCTCGATCCCTTCTATGAGATCCTGGACGTCTTTGTTTCTTTTCCCCGACTCGTAAAGTTATAAGCGGATGTATGAAGTAAGCTAGCTGGGAATGTGAATTAATTTTCTCTTGTCTTGTATCTTCCTGAGTGTGCATTACTTTGTCCTTTCAAAGCGGCTCATATTGCTGTTGGCTAGCATAATTTCCTTTTCACTCCATATACTGCTGATCATTTCCCGTGTGCTGTGGACGCACCGACGAGGAAAGTTTGCTTGCTGTCTCTTCACAGAGGGTTGTTGGTTTTGTCTGGTTAGTTGTCTTTTTTTATGGGGGGAATGCTATTTTTTGTTGTGTTTTTTTGTTTTTTTTTGGGGGGGGGATTTTTTGGCTTTGTTAATTGTTTGGGTATACTTGGGGGAGGCTTGAAGCTGCATTCAGCTTCGCACAGTTTTTTCAATTGGCTTTATTATTTTTGTTTTACTTTCCGCAGACGACGACATTGATCGGACTGCTGAAGACAGCCCGTCTCCTCCGCCTGGTCCGAGTGGCGCGAAAACTGGACCGTTACTCCGAGTACGGCGCGGCCGTCTTGCTGCTGCTCATGGCCACCTTCGCGCTGATCGCCCATTGGCTGGCCTGTATCTGGTACGCCATAGGCAACATGGAGCGGAACCTCGGGCCTGATCGGACGCCGCGAATCGGATGGCTGGATGAACTAGCACGTCAGACCCACCAGTACTACAACGCGTCGGATGACAGTAGCGGCCCGACCATCAAGTCGAAATACGTGACGGCTCTGTACTTCACTTTCTCCAGTCTGACCAGTGTGGGCTTTGGGAACGTGTCGCCCAACACCAACTCGGAGAAGATTTTCTCTATCCTCATTATGCTGATCGGATGTGAGTGTTGGTGTGGTGGTGTGGTGATACGGGAATCGTGTGGCTCTGCTGGGTAAAATGATGAAATGGTATAGGTTTAACGCCCCTATCAACACTTTTAGTTTGTTTCAGAGGCGGGACCTCCGTGTTTAACGTCCGTCTCCGAAAGGACCAAGGCAAATGGGAAATTTGTGTAAAGGGCCTTTCCCAAGGACACAACATCGAACCGAGATGAGGCTCGAACCGCAGTCTCACGATTATGTGTCCGGTAGCCTAACCACAAGGCTCCCGGCGCCACGCCCTACTGGGTTCTTGTTGGCTGTGCACGCTTTTGGCTTGTCCTGGGTTTGGGGGGGGGGGATGGAGGGGGGAGCCTGGTTTGTCTCTATAGAAGTGCTTGTACTGGGTTGGGAGGGGGTGGGGATGGAGGGGGAGCCTGGTTGGTCTCTATAGAAGTGCTTGCCAACTTGGATGGTGTCCCCGACTTGTGAGCCATTAAGTATTTTTGGTCGGGGGGGGGGGGGGATCACCCAGGTAAGTGACAAGTGTCATCAAATGTCCCACTTTGAAATACCTGTGAGTGGGCAGTACGAATTTTTTAGCCTCTTTATGTGGCAAAAGGGACCTCTGGCTTTTCACGATAGACAAGCCGTGATCTACAGAGATTTTGCCAGCCATGCAGTGAAGTCTTGCAGAGTTCTGGCTCATCCAGTCCAATTCTGGTTTGTTGGGGGGGGGGGGTAATATTTTGAGGGGCCACAGAGGGGGTCACAGGGTACTTTCTGAGATACTTCGGTTGTTTTAAATTTTATTTTACATACGCAGGCACAATTCGTAACGAGGGTGTTTACTTTCGAAATGTTGACAAAATAGTGGATCCATTTGTGTTTACAATTTGAAGAGCGGTTTTGTATGTATTTGTCAAGGACAGTCGTTATTTTGCTTTGGACTGTTGTCTGGAACTGTTGAAAAAGGCGAGAAAAGAGGGGGAGAGGATGTGTACGTGTGTGTGTATGTGTGTGTGTGTGTGTGTGTGTGTGTATGTGTGTGTGTGTGTGTGTGTGTGTTTTTTTGCCTGCGTGTATGTATGTGTGTTTGTGCGTGCTTGCGTGCTTGCGTGCTTGCATGTGTGGAGGGGGTAATAAGTGAATGAAGTGCAGCTTTTGGAGTAAAAGTTTACGGCTGAAATAGCTAACCCCTGTAACTTGCTTACGCACGATTGAATTGACCATGGCGTTTAGAGATTAATCGTAATAATATGAGAGAGAAAGCCGGGGGGGGGGGTATGACCGATACGTTTATTACCAAAATTTGAAGTTCGTTTCTTTGTAGCAAGCGAGTTCTCTTTGGCGTCAGACAAACTCCGTGGCGCGCTGTGGTGCCAATGACGTGTAGCGCCATCATCTTGCGTGTTGTGTGCTCCATTAATGGGAAACGGTCTTACGATATTGGTCAGGATAAAAGGTATCGGATGTATGGGAGAAGAAAAAGGAACATTATTTTTCCCCGCTGCTCTAATCGGATCGTTTTTCCGCGCATCACTCAACATGAGAACACACAAAAGGGGATCGTGCACGTACCCACTCTCTAGAGGATTACTGAGCACGACAAGGACACTGGATCCATTTTTTCCCCAAATATTTCCATCCCCCCACCCCTCCCCCCTATACTTATCGGATATTGATGTAGCGTTGTTCATATTGGTTTTGCTTTGTTGTTGTTGCTGTCATTATTTAGGTTTGGTATTTATTTTATACTTGTGATGAAACTGAAACTACGTGTAGTTTCCAAGCGAGGCAAACATTCAGATTCCTGATTTATTTAAGGTTGGTTTTGTTTTTTCAAAATTCAGGAAATGAAAGGCAGAGGGACTATGTACTTTTTTGGACAGGAAACTGTGCATGTGTAGGCGCCCACGTGTTTAGATGTGTGTGTGTGTGTTTGTGTGTGTGTGTGTGTGTGTGTGTGTGTGTGTGTGTGTGTGTGTGTGTGTGTGCAAAAAGCACATCAATAATTAATTGTAAAGTATCCCCGTAAAAACCGCCGTGATGTCTACCCCGTTAGCACGTTGTAAATGTTTAAGCTGTATAGCGGCTTGGGCAGAGCTTTCTATCCCACACACATGGGCGAGCGGAGCACAAATGTTGTGATTGTGATAAATAATGCATCGGTAATCCGTTTGAAAACACGCTGTGCTCTTTAAATACGAATACGGTAATCTGTACTGGGGGCACTTTAGCGCTTTTAGCACTCTCTTTTGTTAAACTTAATCTTTTCGATGAGCGCGCTAGGAAGAGAGGGGGGGGGGTTGTTTTGAGCTGGAAAGGGGGGAGGGTATTTTTTGAAAGACGATCAGGATTACGATTTGTTCTTAGCAGAAACGTGTCGAGCTTCATCATATTATTATTCCTTTTCCGCTGTCTTCCACCGCCAGTTCCTTTTTTCTTCTACCATGTCTTTCCCATTTCTTATACTGTCATTATATTATATCTGTCCTCCCTTGTGTATACCATTCATTGATTATCATACATAATTTAGTCGCCGAGGAACTATCAAGTTTAGGATTTCTTCTCTCTCATTCTTCCTCCTTTTGTTCCATCGTTCGTCAGCTAAAAAATTAAGTAGACTCTGAAAGAAGCGTTCGAAAAGACAAAGCCATCTGTAATGATACACATTTTATGCGGGTGGTTGGCGGGTGCTCTGGTGTGGTGTGCTTCTTCTTTCCTATCAAGCATCTATCGACCTGATCTCTCCTTCTTTTTTTTAATTGTTGATACTCTCTTATTCAGGAGACTGTTGACATACTCTCTTGTAACACCTCTAATCTTCAGCATTTATATGACCGTATTGTGTTGCAAGTGCTGTAAAACTCTTACTAAAACTAAAACTTAACACGAATTATGAAAACTATCTGTGGTACAGTGGTTAAGTGCTTAGCTGTCACACGCAGGAGACCCGAGTCCGATTCCCGAGTGGGGAGATCAGTTTTATCGAGCATCTTGGTTTTCTCCTAGGGTGCTGTATCCCTCTCAGCCGGGGTTGGCCCAGGCAGGCGGAGTCAGAAGCCCGCCTCCTAAATGATCTAAATTGTGTCGATGAAGTCGTAAAATCATCTACTTGAAAAAAAAACCAACAGATTATTATAATCTTCCCTTTCAGCCCTAATGTACGCCAGCATCTTCGGTAACGTCAGCGCCATTATCCAGCGCCTGTATTCCGGAACCTCGCGGTACCACACACAGATGCTGCGTATCAAGGAGTTTATTCGGTTCCACCAGATACCGAATCCTTTACGGCAGAGACTGGAGGAGTACTTTCAGCATGCCTGGTCGTACACAAATGGCATTGACATGAATATGGTGAGTAAACCTGTTGTTTTCGGTTTCTTGTTTTATTATTTTTGTTTATTCTATTTATGTATTTATTTAATTATTTATTTAATTATTTACTTAGAAAAAAAAGGGGGGGGGGGAATGGGGACATTATTTAAACTAACTAAAGATAATTTCTCAAGTTAGCTTTCACTAACTTGTCCCCACTCTGTTTGTCTGTCTGTCTGTCTTTTTGTTTGTCTGTCTGTATGTCTGTCTGTCTGTCTGTCTGTCAGTCTGTCTATCTGGATGGATGGATGGATGGACGGATGGGTGGATGGATGGGAGGATGTCTATTTGTGTATATATGTATGCATGCATGCATCTCTCTCTCTTTCTCTCTCTCTCTCTCTCTCTCTCTCA